CGAGTGATTTCGTAGCAGATGACCAGCCGCTTCACACCTGCTAGGAGACACGCTGGACCACCGGGGCGTAGGTTACCTATAGTCATAGCCTGGCAGCCTTTTGTATCCGTCAACTTGGCATCGAAATTAACATCCGCACCCTCCAGTGCCGCCCAGGGGTATAAATGGACATGGCGGTTACGGCCAGAAAGCAGGGCCACCATCTTCTCTTTGGGCATGAGCTCAATCTGGCAGACTCTTTTACAGTCAGCAGCACGAACAATGACTGAAAAAAGGATCATGCGAAATTAATAATAGTGAAAATAATGCTGAAGAACTAAATCTGTGCTATACAGAGTAATGCTACCATCTCTGGTGATCTCGACTACAAACAGGCCATCTTCTGTCCCCAACGCAATTCGTTCTCGATCTGTAGAGACAAAAGCAGGACAGATATGATTTGTGAATGGAATATTTGTGAATACGATGCGTCAACCCTTAAAGTGATAGTTCAACCAAAAATTCAACAGAAAATAGTGTGGTTCCAAACTCATAAGACTTTTGGTCACATTCAAAACCAAATGAAGATTTTTTTAATATAAAGCAATTTTTGCCCCTCCATTGAAAGTCCTTTCCTTCATAAATTTGTTCATAGAGTTCATAAAGCTACTCCTAGGTAAAATTGTCTCTAGCTATAATTTTTTATTTGATTGCAAATATTAATACCGGATATTATTCTTATTCTTAGACAAAATCATTTCCAAATGCACAACTGTAATGGCATTTATACTGATATATTCATAGAGGAGATGAAAACATATGACAAATAAAAACAGAAATTCAATAAGGATTAGGGCTGGGGAAAAAATATTGGTATGTCAATTTGAATCTATTCTCATTTTTACAAAACTATATCGATTCTTATATCCCAAGAATTGATTAGCCTAGCCTGTTTTCAGTTAATGGACAGAACATTGAAGGGCACTTCCCATTCAATATATCGCATAAGCATTGTGCTTTGGTACTTTTCATATGAAACAAAGTCTCAGATTTCAATTTATGTCCATTGTGTTGCAGTATTCAAACAATAAATGTCGTTTTGGCGCTGTTTAATGTGGAGTGACAGATTGCTGGAGTGCATCGATCAACAGAAACGGCAGCGCGTAGCGTATGTGAACTGATCAAATCTCCGCATTAATACCAGTTTCAGCACAAAATAAACATGACTAAGTTAAGCATCCAAAGGTAAGTAAAAGAAAGAGTACAACTTTACAATCCGTATCCTGTCTCATGTAATCTCTCAATCAGTGTTTCAGCCGCGCAAAGACATCAATATAATGGCTTGTAAACAATGTCACGTAACGTCATATTTACCTCAGAAAAAACATATTCGGTGATTATAAACTCATTAGTTAGCCAGAAAAATAAACTGTAGAGAGGAGCATTTAGCTAAATATACGCACCATATAATATATTAATTATAATTTTTTTTTACTATTCTTTAATGTTTTATGTTTGAATAAATCCGTCCAAGTTTTTATGACAGCCACTATTTAAATGTGTATATTTCCAAACAACTAACTGAAGTAATTCTAACCTAATTATAAAAACTTAATTAAGTGCAATTTAAGCAGTTGTACAGCACAAATCAGTCAATTTTAATATTCAATATTACAATGTAGTACCAACTGACTTATGTATATTTTACAGCATTAGTTGAGGTTTTTTTTCCTTGAGAAAATTTAGCATGTACTGTACCTGATATGCATCCAAAATAATCAATATTGAATCGAATTGGTAATCGAATCGCAAGCTTGTGAATGAGAATCGAATCGAATCGTGAAATCTGTGTCAAAACCCAGCCCTAATAAGGATTATTTATAGAACAACCCTGCAAGAACCTTTTGTTAAAAACCTATATGAAATATTAACATAGAAGTTTTTAAAATAGAAGCTATTCACTATTTTTAAATTACCTTTTGACATTTGCTAATTTCTTTTAAATGGTCCTCTGGTGTGACAAATTAATTTGACTTAAGTAAAATTAAAGTATTAAGTATCAAAGTACTTATTTCAAGGTCAGAATTAAACAAGAATTAGAAATGGTGTTTAAAATGTTTTAACTAAAAACAGTTTTTAACAATAACTAACTAAATTAAAAAAAATAAAATAATGTTGACCAAAATCAGAGTCAAATAAGGGTAATAATGGACAAAAAAAGCAGCATTTTTGATCATCATAAATGAATGTAAACAGTGTCAAGAAATGTTTGTTGCTCTCCTGAAAATGGGGGAAAGTGGAACATTATATTGATTCATTTAACTGACTGATTAGTATCAATCTCAGAGAATAAGATCACAGGCTCTAACGCTGTACTTACCTACGATGGCAGCAGAGAGTGTAGTTTTGATGGCAGGCAGGCTGCTGTCGTAGGCCTCATGCAGGACATGCACCACACGGTTCTTCAGGCGGTTCTTGGCCAGGATGTTCTGCAGGCCCTCTAGAATGCCCACCCACTTCCTCTTCTCCGCCTCACTCTCAGCTAACACCAGCAGAGGCACTGGCCGGACTGGAGAGTTCGAAGCGGATGATGCTACCTGTGCAGTTCAGGGCAAATATAGTTAATTATCGGGATGCATGATTAGGCAAATGTAGCAACCATTTAAGGAACAGGACACATTTTGAAACATACCCTAAATATGCAGGGAATGTCTTTACGACTGGCATGGATCACGTCAGATGCCAACACAGAGCTTACAGAGAACTCTTCATCTCTGTGAGGAAAAGAAAGAAACAATGTCACAAAAATGAAAAATGCCGCTTAATACTATATTCAGTCTGTTTGGGTTTATTTTGAAATAATGACTGCCTGATTGTACATACTTTATTTACACTAAAAGTTTGGGGTAAGTAAGTTTAAGTTCAAACTTTTATTTGGCAAGGATGCGTTAGATTGATCAAAAGTGACAGTTAAAGACATGTACACGTTACAAAAGATTTTGATTTCAAATAAATCCTCTACTTTTGAACATTCTATTAATCAGAGTATCTTGAAAAAAAGCTGTTTTTTAACATTGATAATAAATGTTTCTTGAGCATCAAATCAGCATCTTCTGAAGAATCACGTTAGACTGAAGACTGGAGTGATCGCAGCTGAAAATTCTGTTTTGCCATCATGAGAATAAATTACATTTTAAAATATATTCAAAAAGAAAACAGTTGTTTGAAATTATAATAATATTTCACTGTATTACTGATTTTGCTGTATTTTTGATCAAATAAATGTAGCCTTGGCACGCATAAGAGACATTATATTTCTAAAACATTTACAGAACCCAAACCTTTGAATAGCATTGTAGCAAATTACATTAATCGATGACTGTGTGTAAGTATATATGATTTGAGAATGTGACTAATCCTGACCTCAAGTCGAGGACCTGACTGGCCATCACACCAGGCTGAGTGGACTTCCCCTCTGGCACCTCATAGAGGAAGAGCTTACAGTCACACACTACAGCATATGCCCTCTGCCAGCCCTTCTTCACTCCTGTGGGCTTCGGGATCTGAAAGAGGAGCAAACCAATACTGCAATTCAATGTATATTTAGTAAAACATCCAGTAGGAAATACAATCAAGTTCAATGCAAGTGCTCAAGTGAGATAAAAATAAGTGACATTTCACCATTCAACCCTTAAGAAGAGAAACTTTACTACATTATCATTCTCACCCTGACAAAACCTTTGTACGCTGTGCCAATGCCCCTCTGCACATCAATACCCAGAGGCCTCTTGGCTTGCTCTGGAGGAATGGGGCAAACCTGGGGCGCATAGTCTTTACAGGACACGTGGCAGATGAAAGAGCATACTAAAAGAGGGAGAGAGAATTATCAAACATTCAAAAACTTGACAAGTGAAACTGGCATCAAGAGATCAAAAGCTCCTTATTTCCCCAACCCACTGTCTCTGATCTCATTTATCATTAATACTCAGCTCACCCTCGCAGGCATAACCCTGTCGGATCTGGCCCACCATCAGGGAGGTACAGTGAGTGCACTGGGTCGGGCTGGAGAAAGTCTTAATGCTCAGCTGATGAGCTTTAGGCTGTTGATATAAACAAAATATTAATAGTCAAAGGAACGAATGCATGTTGATGTTGGAAAGCTAATAATAAGATGCTGAAAGACTTAAAGGACCTAAAGGAAACAGGCTAATGATGAGTCAGACACATCATATGGTGGTTTTACCTTTGGCGCACTTAGCGTGGGCTGATAGATTGGAGAAGGGGCAGCAGGGGTGGTTGCTTGAGGCTTGACTGGTTCCTAAAGGAGTAATACAACAGTTCCAGAAATAAAAGCTACATAAATTCTATCCAAAAAATATAATAATAATATTTATATATAAAATGTGTAATACCAAACAAGTATATTTGAGTACTCATGTCAAAACCTTACAGCATTTTTAAAAAAAATTTTAAGCTTCGTCCTATCCATTACTATTCAGGAAATTACTAAATCAATGGCCAATGTATCAGACAGGAAGTCTGACAGCAGCAGAATGTAATAGGAAGTGTTAGGTGGACACTCACATCCTGTTCTGAAGCCACTGATAGGGAGGAAGTAGGGATGTCTGTCTTCTGGGGTGTGGCATCCACATCACCGACGGAGCTTGTCTGAGGGAAAAAGACCACAGTTGGGACACAGCTCAAAATGTGTATGCATCATTTGCTGGGGGCTATTTTTATTCCACTTACATGGTATCTTTATGGGCAGCAGATGAGGTCAAAAGCTTTAAAAACATCCTTTAGTTTCCCCAAAAAGCTATACTAACAGATTCAAGCCAGGCAAACATTGTCACAATGTGACTGAGATGACATTTATGAAATGTATTATTAGTCATAACTAATACGCATTCAGAAGTCATGTGCTCACTCGTGAAAGTCATGAGCATGAGGTTTATACCTATTAATAAAATGATACATTAACATGGCAAAGCTGAATTTGGTTCTCAAGAAACATATCTTAATATCAACGATGAAACAGTGCTGCTTAATATTATTGTGAAAACCACGATACATTTTTTCAAGATTCTTTCAAATTTATATAAAATGCAAAAGTGTGTGTAAAGAATCCTAATGAATCCTATGCCAACTATAATTTATCTCAGGATGCATTTGTAAACTAATACACCATCCTTGGCTAACATTATCTGCAATTAAGCCCCAAAATTATGCACAAATAATACTTACCAAGCACAATACAATACCGTTAAACAAAACATACTGATATGGTCTAACTGTGTATCTATGCAACATGTGAATGCACACATGTGAACGCTATCAATTAAGGGTGATACAAAAAAAATGAAGATGCACAAAGTCCGACAGGTAATTAAAATCATTAAGAAATGAATTGACTTTTTCCTCAGAGAATTACTTTCATGTTCAATTAGCTGACAAGCACATACTTACCATTATCGCCTATATTGGTAGGTTATAAATATTCGCAAAACAACCCCCACAATTTAATCATCTCTCATTCATTTGATTTAATTCGATTCATTTTACGGCTGGTTGCCTTAGTCATTCAATTTAAATTATGGATGTTTATTGTCCTAGCAGGCTCTAAGAGTTAACTAACGGATTAGTGCATTTGCAGACTTGACACATGGAGAGTGACGTTATTCACATTAGCCGTTTAAGAGGTTAGAAGGCAGTGGAGAGGTGGTTAATACTAACTGCTGGATGCTAAATGTGAGTCTCTAACCTTTAGCACCTACAATTAGACTGAATTGGATCTAGGGTCTGGTTGCAATATGGCAGAGGAACACGGTCAGCAGACAAAATAGGTGTAGCAAACTGAGGGGCATGCTGGTTAGGCTGAATATAAGTTGTATGGTCAATGTCTGGCCTTAAATGGTGAGTCAGGCATGATTAACATACAGCAAGTAATGTGAGTGCCATTTTATTTAGGCAAAGCACAAGATTAACTACAATGTGACTTGAGACACTTTGTCTGCTGACAGATCACTCCTGCCAAGGTTAAAGTTGACAGAGGAAGGAGCTTTGTTCAGCAAACTTACTTCATCCCAAAATGCAAGCAGAGAAGATGCGGATGAGGAGGAGACAGAGTCCTTTTTTTTTTGAGGGGGACAAAAATAAGATGACAGGTAACACAGCTTTTGTCTTTATGAACTTGCTTTCACTTTAGGTCGTTCCCTATATTCCCACGAGTCTCAGAAATACAGACTGGCTACATGTGTCAACCTGATCTGACTTTAATGCACTGCAATAAGGAAGCAGTTTCATTAAACTGAAAGATAGGCATCAGACTTGCAAAATTGCCCAGTTGCCTTTGTCTCTGAGGAGGCAATCAAAGCATGATGGACCATTTGGCCATGAACTGAACTGACTCAGTGACTGTAGTAAATCCATCGCTCAAGTCTTCGTCATCAGCTATACTGTTCCAATGTAAACTGTGACTGAAAGCTACATAACTGTTTGGAGTCAGTGATTTCAGGATGAGGCAGGACAGGAAGCCTCATATCACACATCTACACCAGTAGGCTAAGTGGAGGCTGGTCAACACAAGACTCACTCTTGAGCTCAAAAGCAGCAGAAACTGACTGCAGTCATCTTGCTATGAATTTTTTAAGTTTTTGAGCTTGATACAGCATTTGAAATCAAACCTGGAAACTCCAGATGGGCAAAAACGGTAAATTATTTGTATCTAATAAAACCCATCAATACTTTTTAAATTCTTAAAATATTGGAATCAGCAGTAGCAATAGTTCTTCAAAAATTCTTAAATTAGAATAGAACTATGTTTAGGTAGCAATATAGTTTTGACAATTCCAATGTCTACCGTAACATCCTAAACCATAAAATGACATAAAAAAATCAACAATTTAGGCAACTTCACATTTCAAATAAAACCTTTAGATAATTAAGAAAAGTGAAAATGCTAAATTATTATACATTATATTAATCACTATATTTATTTTTCGCATTGGTCTGAACAAAAGCGTCAGACGGGCAGAATGAAAATGCGAAAATTCTCTTTCTGACAGTAGGTGGCGCTTATGCCTCTGTAGACAAATCAGGGCAGTGCTTATAAACACCACTTTATTAGGCATCATATGGAGGTAGGATGAAAAGGAAATGCCATCTGTACTTTTCTATAGACAGTCAGTTCCCTTTAGAGATACATTCATATAATAAAAGAAAACTCTCCTAGGATTTGCACGAATCGCATGAATGGCCCATTTCAACATCAGAGCAGTACATTTAGCCAAAAGTTTCACTTGAGTTTGTAGGTATGTGAAATGCAGCACTCATGGTGTGAGATGCTGAAAAAAACTGTCAAGATGCATTTCAACCCGTTCCAACAAACTAACAATCAAAAAGAAAAAGGACAGTTTAAGAATACAGATGCCTGAGGCAACTAAGTAGATCAGGGACATCAGAACCAGTCTCCAGTATCTGCTAGACATTCATAAACGTGTATATACTCTAATGTTTCAATCTGGATACTACTGACGTCCCCTTTTCACTTTGATAAACTATTAGGTCTATTAGGTCTCTGATTTTCTGAGCCAGAAAGTCATTAGGATGATGAAATGAATGGAGAGAGGCTTGTTAATGCATGTAATGTAGTAGCAGATGGCCAGATACTATCAGAAACACTTACTCTGAATGTCAGGTCATGGGCCAGGGGAGAGGTATTGAAGTACTCAAAGATGGAGTCCTGGAAGTCAGGCAGTTTCAGGCCTACAGTAAAGTGAAAAAAAATTGCCAGGAATAATACGGAATTATACAAAAATCTATTCATTTACCAACTAGCATCATTTATTTAAGGTTCTCTTCAGGTGTTCCTTAAAAAGATGAGATAATATGCAACCTCATGGTTTATAGACACATCGTATAAAATAAGTCTTGCATATAAAGGGAAAAGTCATAACATGCATCATCATTTTCACCTTTGTCTGATCGCGAGCGGCTCTCCTCCATCTCCTTCTTCATATTCTCGAGCTGTTCCTCCAACTCTTTGTTCTTGGCCTCTGTATCCTTCAGTTTGCTGTAGGCGAGAAAGTCCAAAAAGTAAGATCATTTGAACTAATAATGTGTCCTTTTATAATGTGTAAATAAGACTGAACCAGTCCCATGCAACACACACAGCGGGCACCAGGCTTACCTGCTATTATCCCCAAAAGCATTTGCTCAGTTTATTTAAACAGAAGAAGAGACTTTGAACAACAACCTAAATAAATAAAAAGGTCGCTTATTATAGCAGAATCAAAGACTTACCTCTCGAAAGAGATGTTGGCAGCTTTGACCTTGCGCAGCTCATCCTGAACCAGTTGCTTGGCACGGATTTCAGCTTCCAAGGCCGACTGCAGCTCCAGACGGGCAGACATGTCCAACTTTTGACTGCGGCGCACCTTCCACAAAGGATCCTGCCAAGGAAAGGAGATGCGTGTTTTGAAAAGAAGCCAGAAAAAGGAGACTTTGCATACTCCATTATGATGCAGCAGGTCTTAAAACAACTTTTGCGATCAATCAGTTTACTCCATTTTAATTGAAAGCCGTTATTATTTAAAGATAGATTATATTATGTTTGTTTAGGGACTTTTGTAGTTGTCTGTGGACTATAAAATCCTGCCTCTACAATGTCAAGAAGCAGTGCAATCATGTATTTACTCAATGTTTTGTGATGATCGTAAAAACAAGATGCTCTTCAAAAGCACAGAGAAAGCATCATGCATGGAAAAAATGCACTGCATCACATAACCGATACCGTAAATCCTCTCTAGCACAGGAATGGAATCCCTTAAGATGCATTTCCCATAAATCCGATGGCTCGTGAGGGCTTATCTTAGATCTCCACCAGTTTAATAGCTATTGATCTCAGCTGTCACCAATGCTCCACTATTTACACGTGTGGCTACAAGACAACATTTGTCTCCATGAGCTATTTGGCGACGAGACAGTAATTTACTAAAAAAGAGATGGTGCATGGCTGAAGGACAGCTGAATACTGAGGAATGAAAGAAGAGGATTACATCCATTTCATTGATTAAACGCATGAAGTGACTGCACGGCCACAGCTGATGGGAAGTGAGAGACGGTGAAGGGCGTTCATAGGAGTGTTCCTGGCACAACTCATCAGCTTTACATTTGAGCTGCGTGTATTTTTCAGTGTGGCTCTCAAACACGCTCACAATTAAACTTAATACTGCAGCACTCACTCCATTGTTTAAGCTTATCGAGTTAATGACTTCTCAGCATGACTGATTTAATGTCATCCAATAGCGTGCAAGCGGAAAGTTAAGGGTATACACACTTGACCTCATAAGAACAATGGAAGCGATCTTATCTGAAATGTTGTCTATGTTATATGAATTATGATCAGCAATGAGGAGAGCTGATGCAGCATTTTCATTCATCTGACCTTTGAAATTTCAGCTGTAAAAAAATCTGGTAACCCTAAGAGGTTTGCAAACCATCCTTTAAGTAATCTGGACAGATGAATGAGAGATTGATTGGCCAATGGCCAAGAAAACAATCTTGTGCTCCGCCTTCTTTTTGGAACTTCTCCACACTGATTGGAGGTTTGATGGATACACTCACCCGCTTGGTGACCCGAGGTGCCACCATTGACCTCTGGGTTGGCATGCTTACTCCCGGGCCTTGCTGATATAGTAATTCAAATGTACACAAAAGTATACAAATAAATAAATAAATATATAATTTAAATCTCTATATAAAATGTTATAATAATTTGATTTTAATGTATAATAAATCACAAATATTTAAATGTATACACTACCAAAGTTTGGGGACAGTACTTTTTTTTTTTTTTTTAAGTTTTAATGTTTTTGAAAGAACAAAGCTGCATTTGTTCAATCATAAATATGCAGTAAATATTGTAAATAACACAATACTGTACAGTAATACTGTCGAGTATTATTACAATTCTAAATGTTCTTTTCTATTTTAATATTTTTTTAATATGTAATTCACTCCTGTGATGCAAAGCTGAATTTTCAGCATCATTACGCCAGTCTTCAGTGTCACATGAACTTTCAGCAATCATATTAATATGCTGATTTGCTGCTCAAGAAACATTTCTTCTTATTATTATCAATGTTGAAACAGTTGTGGTGCTTTAATATTTTTGTGTAAATTTCTTGATGAATTGACAGTTCAAAGGAACAGATTTTTTTAATAGAAATATTTTTTAAGATTACAAATATATTTACTAGCATTTTGACCAATAGAATGTATCCTTGCTGAATAATTTTTTTTCCAAAATAAAATCCTACTGACCCCAAACTTTTGAACAGTTGTGTATTTTAAGACTGAACGGCCTATTAATTTAATTCCTTGAGACACATCTGAGGAAGTAGAAAGTAATGTTCAGTCATATTCCAACAAGAAATGTCTGAATTTTGTTTACAGAAATTATTTTGAAAATCAACAAAACCACAACCAAAAACATGGCATTTTAATGAATTAAATCTGTAATTTTTTAACTCTATGACCCAAACACAGGACGATAATGGCAAACTTCTCCAATAGCCAAAGTCTATTGACTTCTATTTGTACCATATCCCATAGCAACCCTGCAATTAAGCCAATTAGTTCAATTTGTGAATAAGCGACATTGACCACATCTTTGGACAGTCAGTGGCTTCAAACCCAAACCTTCAGGGCCGTGAAACAATAGTTCTCATCAGCAGATCCCACTATGGCAATAACAAACAGCACTTTCAAGAGGGAAAGGCACTAATGCCAATCTCCTACAGTCAGTCTTTAACATCCTTAGAAAAGGATATTAAATCAAATGTGACCTCCTACACCTACAACATTAACATGTCACTTCCCTTCAATCAATTTCTATTAGATTTGCTATTTAAAGCAAATCTAATGTTACTGTGCTACAGCTCCAAGGAGTTAAGAGAGAGAGTGAGAGAGAGAGAGAGAGAGCTTTCAACTCACTGACAAAATTAGAAGTCTCACTCTCGTAACAGATGCCCTATAAATCCCTATAAACTAAAACTGGAGCATAACAGCAGATCAGCTGTTTAACTGGGAGTTCAGTGGTGAACGCTTGATTATGCAGCTCTGGGAAATACAGCTGGAAATATTCTCCGATAACAACGTAACTTCCCCTCTTTTAATATCAAATCAAAATTTGTGATGTTTACCAGCGTTCTGGATCCCAGACTTGAGCTACGCAGAGACTCCAACTCTTCCGTCATCTTGGAGGCCAGAGCCTGAAGGTAGCCACGTGCATCTTTCTCATCACTCACCCTACAAAATATATACAGTCATAAATTTGGCTATTTGTCCACAATGTCACCAATCCAAGACATATTTTATTGCAATTCAAGATATAATTCAGGCAAAAATCCTTTTGTGTACCACTGAAGAAACACAAGAATGTTTATTTTGGCGAATTGTAGCTTTTGATGGCTACAAATGAGCCACATACAAACGAATGTGAGGGAGGTCTTTCTCACCATTGGATAATCTCAGCAATCTGTGCTTCCCAGTGTGCTACACTCTCTTTCTTCGATGCCAGATCTTGGAGCTCATCCTCCAGCTGCCTATTCTGAGCCGTCAGCTTGTCCACAAAGTTGCAGAGCTGCAGGGGAGGAGATTTCAGGATCAGTTTCAAGGACTGAATATTACTCAAAAAACTGATACTCAACGTGGCCTCTTGCAATATGAAATATGGTGTCCTACCCTGTCTGTTTCTGCAGTGAGTTTACGGTTTTCTTCACTCAGAAGGTTGCGTTCACGTTCAAACTTCTCCTTCAGCGCACCCATGGCCTCGTCCATCTCGGTTTGCCTGTGTGTATAGAAATAGTTCTGGAATTAGAGATCGATATGATTTTTTTTTTTTTAATGGCTGAAGACAGTGCTGCATTAAAATCTACATTGTGATATGAATTATTTATTTTAATTAAAAACATTCATTTCAAAGTGAATAGTTGGGGTGCTCAAAATTGTCTGTAAAATGTTCAAACACATATTAAGTCACGAATGTGAGTGCAGTGCTTCTGTACATGGTTCATTTCAGTGGGCAACATAATGCCATCTCAGGCTTGGTTCACTTTAAATCCGTGTTGTATTTGCTTACAGCATGCATTGAAAAAAATCAAGCACTCTACATTTATATTCCAGGAGGAGTTGATGATAAAATAATACAAGATGATAAAACAGAAAACATTTATTTTAAATTGTAATAATATTTTGAATATTATTACAACACAGTTCTACAGTATTTTTGCTCAAATAAATGCTGCCTTGGTTAGCATAAGAGACTCTTTCAAAAAATTTATTCATTATTTATATATATATATATATATTTTTTTTTGCATATACAATTTTTTCTTAGGTTTCAGCCAATGCTGACAACCTCATTTTCAACTATCACTAGCTGGAATCAAATCTTTTGGTGTCAACCCACAACCTGGACAGGTGACAGTGCAGCTTACCGCTCTCTCTTGGCCTTTTCCAGTTTGTCTTTGAGCACCAGCAGCTCTTTGTTCAGTGACAGCTGTTGACCCTCAGAGTCATGGAGCTCCTTCCTCAGGTTCTTCAGCTCTGTAGTGTGGCTGGCATCATGTCTCACCAGCTCCTCCTCATAGAACAGCACCTTCTTATCCAGCTCTGACTTCAGCTTGGTGAGCTCCTGCTGAGTCTCTGAACTGGGACCTGAGGCGCGACCCGTTCCCTGCTTGACCTGAGAAAGAAACAATCTGAGTGAGAGATATCCTAAAACAAAAGAGATTTACAAATATATTTGAGCTATTAACACTTTAATTTAACACAATTCATTACTGCAATAAACACAGTGAGTAATTTTAATTAATATACAGCCCTACAACCATATACAAACAGACACATAATGGAGAGCACAGGAAGAAGAGTGAGCAAGGAGGCAAAGGGGTCTTCTTGACTTTCATGCAGATGGAAAAAACATAAAACAAAGGAGGACCATCCTGCTCAAAATAACCCGACAGGATATCCTACGCAAGGCTGGAGAAAAAAGAAAGACAGGATGGAAAGCAAGGTGACATATGAGGTTAACAGGGTGGAAGGCAGTAGAGAGGTACAAGATAACGGATAAGGAAAATGGTGAATCTCAGAGAAGCTGTCAAGAACATGCTATATTTTATCCAAAAACCAGACAAAATATTATTCAGCTTGAAATTAGGCATGCACAATATATCTGCACCATATGGGTTTTCTGGGTGATGTTAGAGATTTTTTTTTATAAGTCGATATCATACATATTTCCTTTAATGTAGTTTACCTTTGTTGTCATCTGACACTTCATTAAAATTAATTAAAATTATTTTAAAACACTAATACTTTAATAACCCTATTAAATGTAACCTTTATTAAATGTAAAAATAAATACCCATTTTTTATACTGTAAATAATGACGTGAGGCCTAAATACACTTGTAGCATTTAATGTGATGGATTTTACTTTTTTTGTTTTAGACAAAATAGTATATATAATGTGACGAGTCGGCTGCCTCCCCCTAATTATCAGCATCACCCCGTCCCTTAATCGCCACCCTTCGCCAGGCTCCCGACAGGAGTGGGTGCGTGAGACAGGAGGGGTTCTGAAATAGCCAGGGCTGGCGGCGTGTGATGGGGCACACCTGAACCGAATGAAGCCTCATCACCGCCGCTGTTTAAATGCCGAGCGCGCCTCTCCTCGGGAGAACGGTCTCTTCCCCGTGCATGCACGCTAGTGTCCTCGTGGGTCCAGGAAGGGTGCGTAGAGGGACTCCCGTGCCGCCAGAGTCGTGAGCTACCGGACCCACGGTCCGGACGAGAACCGCACCCGTTACACGGCCGTCGGGCCAGGATGCCGGGCCATCTAGTCCCTTCAAGCACCGTGGGCAGAGAGAAGGACGAAGCCGCTGGAAGAAGGGGCCGGACTCCGCCCCTTACCTGGACCCTTCCTTCCTGACCACTGCCCTTCCCTGCACGAACCCCGCAGCATGACGAGGACACCAGATCCCGTTTTATTTTGGACACTTGATTCCCCTTTTTCCTGGACACTTTGTTATATTTTTTTGTTAATAAAAGCCTCTCCAAGGCCTGACGCCACACCCACTGTGTCTGTCATTTGGTCGTCCCGCCACAATATATAATAATATAATACATATTTGAGTATTTAATAATAGGTATTATAATAAATAAATAATTTATTTTATTTAAACAATTTATACTATTTATTTTTTGTAGCGAATTTGTGGTTAAATATGACCCAGACATGTTATCGTGAGATTCACCCATAAAAGATTCATAAGTTGGCTGAAGTCAGTAAAGAGGCAGTTTATGAATGAGTGACCTCTGACCTTGAGCATCTCCAGCTCGCTCTCCAGTTGTTTAGAGTAGACTTCACTGTGCTCTCTGAGCTTACGCTCCTTAGAGGCTTCGGCACGCGCATCCTCCAGCTGAGACTCCAGCTATTACACACACACACACACACACACACAAGAAAAACAATCAATATGAAAAAAAAAAAAAAAAAAAAAAGGATTCGTATTGACATTCTCATAAACCCTTCAATCTTGACCTAATTTCAACTACACACACCCCGCGAGACATTATGTCTCTGAACACTAAAAAGATCCTGACATCAAGAACAACATTTTTGTTCGCCCCGAGACGCTTCCGCCTTGTGCATGAGAGAGAAAGAAACGAAACATAAAAGAAAAGAGCATATAAATGGGGGAGGGTCTCAATCCAGCTGCAGTCAGCACTGCGATCAGTGTCGTCCATCTGGCTCGAGTTAGTCACTGAGGTCCAGAGGAGGTCATGGGGTCCGTGAGGCTGGTCTGCAGGGACGGGAGGGGGCAGGAAGGGGTGTAAAGACATTCCTGCTGTCGTCTAGGGAGATTTGGAGCTGTTGAGTCCGTCTCTCTCTGGAGCGTGACTGATGAACTTCAAAAATGTGGCACATTCCAAGGCCTTGTTTTCATCTGACTGTGCCCTCTGTCAGCCCCAGGGGTGTTAACATGATGACGCGGAGTAATAAACACGGCACGGGTTCGGAATACCAGGATGACACATGTAGCGTGAATACGTCTTCCTGATTGAAAACTCCTGACAATTCATCTCCATTTACTTTAAAAACAGATCCAAAACAGTCATAGCATTACAAGAGGGGCCGCGTGACCCCCTTCAATCATGCTGCTCACCTCTTTGCGGGCCTTCTCGGTTTTGCGGATGTCCTGGCGCATGGCATCGATCTTCGGCATCACCACCTCCATCTCCTCCTCCTTGTCCCGCAGCTGCCTTGACAGACGCTGCTTCTGCGAGCGCAGCTCAGCCATGCGCTCGTTCAGCTCTGAGAACTCCTGCATGGCCAGCTTCCGCTGCTGGTGGGCATCCTTCAGCTCCTTGGTCTGAGACTTCAGGCGATCCAGAGACTCCATCAGTTGCTGGAAAGGGATATGCAAGAGAAACGGATGAAATGGGATGGAGGGGTGAGATCAGAAGCTGTGAAAACGATAGCAGTGAAAGAGTGTGCGAGAGGAGCAGCAGAAGGAGAGAAAAAGGAAAGAGCAGCCGTGTCTGGAGAGACAGGACTGAAAAGAGGCTGAGTGAGAAATAGAAACCATCAAGAGAATTGGGAGTTGTGTGCTAAAAGAACGAGACACGCGCTCGTAAGGATGATATCAACTGGCACACATGAAATTAATAGAGAATAATTTTGACAAAAAAAAAACAGGCTGGAATGGTTCTCATACACCAGTCATGCAGAGCTTTGGTGGGTACGAGCCAGGTCTCTGGGCCAAGAGTCAAGTGGAACGGCACGGCAAATTCGATTAGCTAAAAATGTGATACACGGTGAGAATCTTGACCTGCCCTGAGTGAGGGGGTGATGACATTAATCTTGATGAAGCGGGCCAGTGTTTATGAACTTCCTTACTGAATAAAGCTGAGGTCGAGGACATGTAATCTTCAGCACGAGGACAGGAGAACTTTTCTCTGGCAGTTATGTCTGCAGTCACGTAATCTGTTACAGCATGTAATGTGTTTCATGCAGTATATGACGACACTTATTCTGAAGGTGTTCAAGAGATTTTTGCACCTTGTATTTCTTTACAGCAGAGTTGAGAACTGAGATCCTGTTCTTGTTCCGAAAAGCATTAGTTTTTTTTCATATAAATTTATTTTAACGAATTTAAACCATACAGCATGTTCTTTTGAGTGAAACAAACAAACAAAGCTTACAATGCAGCAAATATTTTCTTTCTTATGGTGACCTACACCTGAGTGTAATGGATTAGTGACAAAACAATAATAGAGTGCAGACTTATATCCAATGGTTATTGACTGGATTTTGAATTCTGAAAAATTACAAGGTCAAAAAAACGTATGCACGAATGAATAATTCGGAATTAGATTCAAAAGATTTTAGATTCTTATTTAAAAATTTGAAAAAGGTGCATTTTCATTTATTTTGAAGGCTTGTGTGACTTAAATCAGTGTAGTTACTGGCTGGTTGTTTATTATGTAACTAGTGCTGTCAAATGAATAATCACAATTAACGGCATCCAAAATAAAATTTTTGATTACATAATATACGTGTGTGCACTGCGTATATTAAGTGTATATAAATACACATACATGCATGTATATATTTTTAAAAATGTTATGTTTATATATTAAATATATTTATATATAATATAAATTATATGAATATAAATGTATACATGAAAAATTCATTTAAACATTTTCAAAATATATACTGCATGTGTGTGTCTTTATATAAACATAATAAATATGTATACATAGCACACATATATTATGCAAACAAAATTTTGGATTAATCATTTGATGGTACTAATTGTAATGTATTTTAAAAGATTTGTGTAAATAACTTTTGCAAGAGTAAATGCATCTCATCATTTACCAATGAATTACTTTTTCTTCCCAAATATTTGTTCTTCAACATACAAAACCAAACATTAATGGAACTTTTAAGGAACTAAATTGTAAACAGAAATTCCTTTTGATTCCCATGCAGGACTGAAAATGTTTAGGAATATTTACATTTGTAGGAATAATTTCTCGTACTACAAGAAAGCAGTTCTTGCATTCAGGAATGACTGGTAACCCAACTCTCCAGTCACTCATACCTTATGGATATCCTCCTTCTCCTGCTTGAGAGCTTTGACTTGCTTGTCCAGGGCCTTTAGTTTGCTGGAGGAACTTTCAAAGTCCTGTCTCAAAGTCACTGCCTCCTCGAGCTGGTGCTCCAGCCTATCAGAGTCTGGGGAGAGACAAGTTACTCAGAGTTATCTTGGATGTGACTGATTAGCTGACACAAATATACAGCCAAATAATCAAATCAAGAAATTCTGATAAGAGGAAGTGGCGTTGACTCACAATCTTGACACGGCACTTTTCTACCAATGTGTGAATCATAGTTAATCTATAACGTAGGCATGTGTGTTGTGCTTTGACAAGACTCATAACAGACTTTATCATATCATATATCCATTGACAAGGATTGGGAGACCCATTACCTGCCAGTTTCTTTTTGAGCCGATCAATTTCCTCATTGAGTTTTTTAATCTCTTTATCACGACCAAGTGTGCCAGCCCCACGCCCAGAGCCATGGAGGGACTGAACAGCTTGAGTGGATTCTAGGAAATCATGGGTGGAACAAACAATCAGTATATACTTAGAAAACATTTCACTGATGGATTTACAAAATGAAACAAAACTACTAACACCAAATAGATTATATAACAAGGGCTTGAAGTGATAATTCACCCAAAAATGATTCTTTTGGCAAATGATTCTGCCATCAAAACCATTTTAAGGGACGAATGAAGATATTTTTATGAAACCTGAGACTTCTGTTTTTGAGACTTTTTGAAGCAACTTTTTGTTGCTTCAAAAAGTTCAAAAAGAGATTGCAAAAGTAATTCCTATGAACCAAGCAGTTTAATCCAAGTCTTAAGAAACACCTTCACTTTATAAGGAACTAATTCAGGCTTTATTCACATATGCTCAATTCATATAGAATATCTTTACAATATCTTTATGAACTTTTTGAAGTTTCAGTGGAATGGACTTACAATGGAGAAACAGAAATCTATTAGGTTTCATTTAAAACACCTTCATTTGTGTTTCAAAGATGAACAAAAGTCTTCTGAGTGACTGATGACAATTTAAATTTCTAGATGAACCAATCCTTTAAATGCTTTCTTCAGATATCAGGTGGAGTTTATATTTATTACCCTGCAGCTTGCGGTTGAGCTCCTGTTTCTCCTGCTCCAGACAGCGAATCCTCTTCTCAAAAGCTTCAACCTGCAGACCCCCATCCTGGAGATCCTCCCCGGCGCCTCCATCTGCCAGCGCCACCCTCCTCACGCTGCTGCGGTCTGAGAAACAGCTGTCTGTGGTGTAGGTGAAGCCGACGAAGGGCAAGTGCTGCCCGGTGAAACCTGTGTGAGATACTGGGGGAGCGATGTCCTGCAGGGGGAAACAGAAAGAGTCAAAAGTTAAATACAAACAAGTGGACACTCTAGTATACTTAAGGTTTCAGGCTTGTTATTTCATATGGGACAAAATGTTTTTTTCCCATCAAAAAAGTTAAACCAACCGGGTTTTTCAGCACATCATCGTCTACATCAAAGTTGGAGGTGTCTGAGGGAGAGCTGACGTCAGGGATGTACGGTGCCTCTGTGTTGCGAATGTTCTCCCAGTCGATGCCAGAGAAGAAGGGGTGCTTCTTGAACTCCTCGATGCCGTGCTGACCCAACCGATGCTCTCTACTGCAGATCAGCTGCTGGATCAGGTCTTTAGCCTCCTCGGACATATCCGTGATGTGAGAGGGGAACTGGAAACGCTCCTAAATAGTGCAAATTAGACCAGATTTTCCACTCTAAACCACTACTCAGGGGTGACCAGTTGTGCCGATAAAATTAGGGCAGTCCTGATTTTATGTGTCCCAAAGGAGTTACAGCCGGGATGTTATTTGTCATGATAATTAGCTTACGTTATGAATAAACATCATCAACGGATTCACTGTGGTTCATGCTTTTTTTATCATGAGAAATTTCTAATTTCTCAAGATGCAAATGTGAGATTGTAAATGTGTGTTTGTTTTTTCAGTGGTGGGGAACATGTAAACTGAACAAATACCAAAAAAACAATGATAGATCATCTCACCTCGTGGTTCATGATCTTCCCGTAGGTCTCCACCAAGGATTCAGCGTAGAAGGGCGTCTCACCGTAGAGCATCTCATACATGCAGACTCCTAGAGACCACCAGTCACACTCCGGCCCGTATTTCCCCATGCCATCCTCCATGGCCTGCAGGATCTCAGGGGAGATGTAGTCTGGGGTGCCCACAGCCACTGATGACTGGACCTGCACAGGGGATGACAGGAAGTGAGGTCACAAACAAGTCACTTTGTTTTTCAAAGTGACAGGAAAGATTTCTATAATGTTGTAAGATTAGTTCAAATAAATGCTGTTCTTTCAATTCAAAGAATCCTGAAAAATATATAATAGTTTCCACAAAAATATGGAGCAGCATAACTTCCAACATTGATAATAATAAGTAATTGTTTTTTTGAGAAGCAAATCAGCATATTAGAATGATTTTTGATGGATCATGTGACACTAAAGACTGGAGCAATAATGCTGAAAATTCAGCTTTGCCATTACAGGGACGAATTACATTTTAAAATATAAAACAATATAGAAAACAGTTATTTTAAATTAAGATTATCAAAAAAATTAAGTCTGTGAGCCTAAGAGACTTCTTTCAAAAACATAAAAAAATCTTACAGACCCCGAACTTCTGGATGCCTTTAAATAAGTGACAACAGCTATAGACACATTAACCAGTAGTGCACAAAAACTCTACTATAAAGGTGTAGACACATAATATTCACCATGCCAAGTCTCAATCTTGCCCATAAAACATGTACCATACAAAAGCACTCAAAACATGTCTTGACCTCCGGTTATTTTTGTAGAATGTTTAATTGCAAAGACGTAAATACTGTCAAAGATAACACTGAAAGATGTTGAGAAATGCATAAAGATGCCTTCAAGCAACATTACAGACACCATGAGTCTTTGTGGCTTTTACTTTAATGTTTGCAAAAACTCACCTTTATGTAAGTGTGACTATAAACACAAAATTTACTTCTAGCAGGTACACACATTTAAACTGCAGGAGTAAAAAAATGGAGCAAAACATTGATGACTTGTCCAATACAATGATCACAAGACCACAATCTTCTATGGCTGAATGTTTTGGGGGGAAAAATCAAAATGTGATATTTCTGATAAACAAATTCTGATTTTGTATTTTTTTTAAAGCTCCAGCTGTACTGTGCTTATTTGTAGGGCTGCACAATGTAACCAAAAAGATATAACAATGTTACTACTAATAATAATTACTATTATTAATTTCTAATTTCATTTTACAGTATATTTTTTATTTATATTAAATTTGTTTTTTTTCTAAAAAAAACAAAGAAAAATTACCAATGCAATATTTCACTGTAAAATAAAACGTTTTCAAAAAATAATATACAAAAAATAAATATACTAATATAATAACAACACTAATATTTATTACATTATTTAATGTAATAGAATTAATTACATGATTTATTTTCAATTTCTTCATTTTCATGTTAAACCATCATGATTCTATTTCCTGTCGAAAACTGCTGGAAGCCTTTAAAGCTTCTCTTATGCTGACAACAGCTGGTTTATAAGCACTCCTCAAGTACACGTTATAAGCACCTCAAACTCACAGCGCATGCAGAAATGAGTTTGTGTGGAGCAGTAATATCTGTGAACTGATCACGATTTTGCTTTAGTTTTGAATAATCGCAAAGATCTCCTATACTCAACATCTAAACATAGGTGTAACATCTACAAACATGCAGGGATCTGCTCAGTTGGTGTGGAACACAGCACATGTGCAGCTGAAAAACTAAAGTCCCGCTCTGCCCTTCTACATGCTGCTGGCACAGAGAACACACACACAGAGCAGTAGATAAAAGCTGTTTTGGCCTTGGTCTTGTTATCAGTGCGCTATGGTGACTCATCAGTCTGTGAGCCAGAGGGGTGGGCAGCGATGGGCCTTTCTAATTAGCCCTCCCCTTCTAGGGCAGCAGGGCCAAAAGCAGCTCTATTAATGTCAGGAGCAGAGAGAGAAAAGAGGGCAGGGGCAGTGCTTTCACCGAACAGATGGAGACCACCCTGCAAGGATGACAAACTGACTCTGGTTTTAGATGGACACTTGAGTTCAAAGTTGAGCCCTTCATCACAAACTCACCGTGCCATCTTGCATCATCTTCAGACAGGAGCCGAAGTCGGCGAGACGGATGTGACCGTTCATGTCCAGTAGCACGTTGTCTGGTTTTATGTCCCTGTGTGAACAGGAAACACAGCATTTAAGCATGAAATAACTCAAGCAGTGGTTCTTAACCGGCTTTGCTTCAGGACTTTACATTGGACATCAAGTGGTGACCTAAATCCCAATTGTTTAGCACACAAAAATGTCATTAAAAATGAAAGATTGGTAACTATTAATATTAAAATGAACAGCATGGGCCCAATAATATGTAGAATTACTAACATCACTTAGAATGACAATTTTGGTTTCTAAATGTCTCTCAAATTTCAGTGGTTTCATGCTCTCAGTACTTACACAAACACAATGTGGTCAGCGGAAACCATGGTTACCCTCATTGCATGTTAACTTGTATTTAATGTAGTCTAGGTCGGATCATTTTTCTTCTAAACCATCTGCAGTTTTGGTTTTTGAGGATGAGGGTATATCACGCAACCTGTCCAGGTTGGCATCCACCTTATTTGGCTAGAAATAATAAATGGCTGATAAATCTCTTTTGTCACTTTACAATACGGTTTCATTTGTTGACTTTGTTTATTTGTTTGTAATTTCAGCTAATACATTTAAAATAAATTAAATATTTTGGTAACATTTGTTGATATGCTGTGAACAAACTAACATTAAAAAAGACTATAAATGCTAAAGAAAATTTTGCATTTATTTGATCAAATATAGAGTGAAAAATTGTGAAATATTATTACAACTCCAAAGTAAAAAAATATTTACCATTTTAATGAGTTTTCAAATGTGATTTATTCCTGTAATGGCAAAGCTGAATTTTCAGCAGTCTTCAGTCTTTCCAGCCTTTAAAGTCGCATGACCCTACAGGAATCATTCTAATACGCTGATTGGTGCTCAAGAAATATTTCTTACTTTTACTTTACTGTCTCTTTTGATGAATCCTTGCTAAATAAAAGTATTAATTTATTTGAAAAAAATCTTAGTGACCCCAAACTTTTTACTGGTAGTGTAGATATCATTAGTTCATGTTAGCTAATGCATGCATGTTTATATTGAAGGTTGTAGGGGTTGGCGATATACCCGTAGACATGATTAACCAGTAGAAATGTGTCAACCGCTAGAGATGTTTGACTATCATCTCTATTGGTGTGTTACACATTCATGTGACTTTGCTGTGCTAAGTGGTCACGAAAATTTATCGTTTGCACAAGTTTTTAAGCATTGCGGTTTAAAACAAGTGATTTTAAGCCGTTGAAATGCAGTCAGCCGTGAAAGAGAACTAATTTCGCTATATGCGTGTCAGAGGTGCGGGTGTGCGTCAAGACGGTGCTCATGTGTGGGAGTAGGGCTGGGCGATATGGCCACATTTTTTTTTAATTTATTTTATTGTCGATATCAATAACTATCACTATAAATGTTAAATTTGTATTTCTTTCAAGTTTAAAGGCAGATTTTTTCTCTAATGTGAAACACTTAGAGAACACGTTTTTGAATTCTTTACACTTTTCCAGTCATTTTTCTTCAACAAAATAAGTATCTTAATAGAAAAAAATATTTCTTAGTTCTGCATGTTCTAATGAGTAATATTGTTTCAAATCAAGAAACTTTTGAAACTTTCAAAAAAAGAAATATATATTTAATTTACACAGTGAGAATATGCAGTGTTTTTATACATTTGATTACTTTACACAGTATGTAGCATTTCTTATTTGTTCTACTGTTGTTTTTCTTGTCCTATTGCTTGTAATTATATTCTTACTTAATCGCTGACTGCTTACTTGTCTTCAGTTAGCTTTTTTCAAATTTTGGCTAGTATTAGTTTTTTTATGATATTGACACTGGTGCAAAGAATTATGAATTTTCTATGGTATCAAAAATTTTTATATCATAAAGACCTTATTTAAAGCAAAAATAACTACATTGTGAAATATCGTTACCATGAAATAAATGTACTTATATTATAATAAGCTTTTGATCATATCGCCCACCCCTAGTAGGTTGCATATTATTATTCACATTTAGCACAGACCTGTGGCTCATTCTTGGGTCATGACCCACCAGTTAAGAACCACATCTATAAAGATGGCTTTGACAGAGGTGAAAAAAACATGGCACTCAGCGCCGTTCATCACACAGCTGACGCTGCCCTGCGCTGTGAGGTGTTATTACTCCAGTGGGCAACCCACCCTGTGTGTCTGCTCTCCAGGGTGGCTGTTTCTCCATGCCCAGCCATGCCCTGCTCTCCATGTAAACAGCCTTCCTTTGTTCACCCTCCCCCATTCACACACACTCAGTCCCTGTCTCTCGAAGACTGGGCCACACACACAGTGCCCTCTGATTCATAGCCCTGGCGCCATGGCGAGCACAGCGGGTACAGAGTAAACATGGTGTCAAAACTCATCACACACACACACCACACAATTCACAACCTCACTGGGTGTCAGTATAAGCACGAAGGGATGTACCCATGGACACACGCGTGTTTTACGAGCGCTAGCATGCCTTTAGTCAGCTACTTTGGCCCAGCAGGGTCATGATGCGATGTGTTTATGATTGGTTGGGGGAATCAAGTTAAAGACTCAGAATAAAATGTCTTCATTAATTCACCCTCATATCAATACAAACCTGTATGACTAAAGAAAGTTAATGTTGCCCTCTTCCGTAAAATGAAAACTGAAGAGAACTGATGTTGTTAAGCTCAAAAAAGCACCATAGGAACATCATAGAAGTTGTTTAAATAATCAAATTTTTAGTTAAATGAATACACTATAATCCAAGTCTTCTGAAGTAATATGATAGATTTTTTTAGATAAAAAGACTGAAATCTAGGTTGTTATTTGCTAAAAATATTGCTTGACAGCAGCAGCCATTCATATCCATTGTTGGGAAAAGAGCAGCGTGAACATTCTGCTAGGGTCACACAATTTAGGTGAAAAAATAATAAATAAAAAAATTGAATTGCAATTTTTTCAATAGGAATTGATATCAATATAAATATAAGATATATTTATATGACTATAAATATTATTATTAGTAGTTCTATAAGTATTATTACTAATAAAGAAAAATAGTACACAAAATAAGAAATACTCATATCGTAATTTCACTGTAAAATTAAAAATATGTCAAGAATAAGAAAAATTCTTACAGTAAAATACAGTAAAACTGGAAATTAATACTTATATTTATGTCTTAATTTCCTTAATTTTCAAACATAAGATGCATTGAGCTTTTATTGGCACATGTTGCATTTTCAAAGCTGTAAGTATCCCAAATGAAGAGTATGTTTGGAGCAGCATTTACCGTGAAACGAGGTGCTCGGAAACACTAAAAATACAGGATCATGAGGTGCTTGTGTGTAAAAGTGCTGCGCTTCACTCTAAAACAAGTAGTGCATGTGTTCATTTGATTAAAAAACAGCTTTTGCAATTCCATAATCACACTAAGCCATACCACTATTTCAGTGTTATTTTATTCATAAAGTGCTTACATTCTGCTAAACACCTCTTTATAGGTTGTAAATAAGGTGAGGGTTAGTAAATGTTCATTTTTTGGTAAACTACCATTTGAATAGCGCTACTGTATCAGAGGTGACGCTTCCACAAAAGGAAGGAAGAGGGGGCTCAGCTGGACCGGATGGCAGTCCAGGACAAGCAGCCAGGAAGAGGCCCCTGAACCTGAACAGATCTGCAGCCCAGAACACCACAGCCATCTGCGGTCATTTCATTAAATGTTTCATGTGGGAGTGGACATATGGGTGAGGTGCTGTTGATCTCCAGTGTGCACATTACTCACACAGGGCCAATGACCACTCTGCTATACTTGTGAGTACATGTTCAAACACTTGGGCAGAATCCTACATTGGGTAAATCTTGTCATTTTGTCTGGATCTAGTCTTGCGATTAAAACTTGACTATCAGCATAAAGTCCGGCCCACATTGCAGCTTATTCTGCCTAAAAATGGCTCACTTGGACAGGAAGGGGTTACATGATATATAAAGTGATCAACCACAGTTTGCTTTTTACATAATTTTAGGGAATAAACAAAGCAAAACCCTGCTGAGAAGACCAGCATGAATGCCCAGGATTATATCCCAGTATCCCAACTCCTAGGTCATGGGTTCGATTCACAGGAATGTATAAATGTATAAGTATAAATGGGCTGGTTTATGCTAGTTTGGTGCCAGTCTACCAGCATGATCTTTGTGGTAAACTAAGTCTTGCTGATTAAAGCGAACCAAGAATCAAGTCTGCGTCTGATTCTCACTTGTTCTTTAATTCTCCATTCACACACACAAATACACAATCATGTCACCTGTGTACGTAGCGCTGCTGATGGATGGAGTGGATAGCGAGCACCATCTCTGCCACATAGAACTTGGCCATGTCCTCCGGGAGTCGGTCCTCAAATTTACTAAGCAAAGTCAGCAGGTCGCCTCCCACGTAATAATCCATCACTAAGTACTGCAGGAGGAGACATTATCATCCCTTATCACACAACACCATTCAATTACACAAACACTGACTCAGCACTTCATAATATCAACTGAACGACATCAAAGAGTAGTATAATTAACAAATATTTATCACGGAACGAATGCACTGTGCCCTAACCTCCAGTACTCTGTGTTAGCGTGTTTGAGGGCTGCGCTATCAGAGTTTGTGCTACAAATAATCATCAGTCACTCTGATAAACATGACATTTTCATCATGGCCATCATTTACACTGATAATTATTTAAACATCATATAATTACAGATTAATTACATTAAATATGTATGGCTTAGAGGTTTTTTCAAGATAGCTTACACAAAATACACCCAGAATGGGTGCTATTTATGCATTCAGTGTTAATTAAAACTATTCAAAATAGTTTTCTTTAATTAAACTAAAGCTGAAATAAAGATAAAAAATAAATATTAGATCAAAAAAACTTCTAGTAAAATTTCACATTTCTGTTTAAGATATTTAAATGGATAAAACTGAATTAAGATGAAAGCTAAATAGAATTATTCAAAATAATAATAATAAATGACTAAAGCATGTAAATTCACATAAAATAAAATTACAACTTAAACTAAAATTTAAATGAAAGCTTTTATTTTTAAAATTTAAGTTAACAAATATAGTTAACAAAAATCTTAAGAATTATTACTTTAGCATATAAATAACATTGCATTACTGCTAATAATTTAGATTATGATTTATATCAGGTTCGAGATGTGAAGGTCTAAAAAAAAAATTGCGAGTGTTGAGGTTAACAACTCACTAATTGACAGCTAACATTCAGTTATGTCCTAAGAGAATAAGTGTATGGAGAGATGGAGACACACACCAGGTAGTTGTCATCCTGGAAAGCATAATGCAGGGTAGTGATCCACTGGCAGTCTCCATTCACCAGGACGTTCCTCTCTTCCCGGAAACACGCCGTCTACATTAGATGTGAGGAGACTTATTTTACATCAAAACATTCAAAAACTATTTTTGTTATTTCCTACACTTTGCTTTGACAACCTTATAAGAAAAACTGACACATAGTAACTTAAAATAAAATTAATTAAAACAATTATTTGTGCAGCCCTAGTTTTGATCAAGATCAAGAATGAATGGGTAACTCATTCAATAAATTAAACTACATCCACCTGCAGTGATGATGTACATGGGTTTCCCATTTTAGATGTTAGTCTTAGATCTTATATCTGTTTGAATTGGGACTCTGGACATGTGAGGAGGAATAAAAGGAGCCCAGTGAAGCTCAAAGAGGATTACGGACAAGCCCAAGTGACAAAAGTTCTCCTGATATGCCTCTGGGAGGCCTGTGGGCACTGTCAGGACTGATCAGGCTGAAACCGGGGCAAGAAAGAGCTGGAGTAGAAAGGAAAATGACCTTGCGCTCCTATACACTTCAGTAGAGAGGGTTTGATTGCAGTCATTGAGCCATTAGGAAGAGGCTTGGTACTGACTATATGGGAAAATGCTATGGAGATCTTATGGGAAAACTAGGACTAGCAACTCACTGGTTCTTACAAACAATGCAACTTTAGTTGCCAAATTACAGAATTGCTCAATATAGATGGATATTTTTGGCTGTTCAGTTTAGATAATTACTAGGGATGCACCAAATTTTCGGCCACCGAAAATTATCAACCTAAAATGGCATTTTCAGTTTTCGGCCAAAAGAGAAAAACGAGCGAAAATACGAGCCGAAAATATAGGCTACATATAATAATATATATGGCATGCCTTACGTATTTCTGATTCTGTTACATAGAAGTGAATAAAAATAATATATTGATATTTAATATTAAGGTAGGGGGGGGGTACAATGCTGTTTCATGCATTCAGAGTTGTTTACACTGTTAAAGAGTTGGATTCTCATGCTAAGCATGGACAAAGATTAATAGCGATGCCGATTCTGATGCTTCAAGCTTTATATAGACTGTTTCATCGGGCACATGCGCCTTGCCCAGCCCGAAGTTAACTTCTGGTCAGTGTCTGTTTATCAGTCTGGCTATGGCACCGGCTACAAACGCAGTTAAAGTTAAGGTGATGAGTAGACTGAAGTTGGGCTCAGGTGGTTGTGCTGTGGGATGTGTTTCCCATACATTTATTTATTTGTGGTGCTCGCCACAATATCAAAACTGACCGATTTTCCAAAAGGCTTTGTTGAATAAACATGAGTACGTACTGCACATTTAAAAATGTGACGTCATCAAATTGCGATCGGTTCGTGAGATCGGCTAAATAGTGAGTACCGATCAAGTCATGAAATGTGATTATCGGCCGATACCGATCTCTGACCGATCGATCGGAGCATCCCTAAAAAAATTTTATTTTGCTAGCAACTACTTTTTTTAAATGCTAGATATATTTTTAACACATTTTCAACCATTTAGAGGTGATGAGTAGACTGAAGTTGGGCTCAGGTGGTTGTGCTGTGGGATGTGTTTCCCATACATTTATTTATTTGTGGTGCTCGCCACAATATCAAAACTGACCGATTTTCCAAAAGGCTTTGTTGAATAAACATGAGTACGTACTGCACATTTAAAAATGTGACGTCATCAAATTGCGATCGGTTCGTGAGATCGGCTAAATAGTGAGTACCGATCAAGTCATGAAATGTGATTATCGGCCGATACCGATCTCTGGCCGATCGATCGGAGCATCCCTAAAAAAATTTTTATTTTGCTAGCAACTACTTTTTTTAAATGCTAGATATATTTTTAACACCTTTTCAACCATTTAGTTGCCGCTTGAAGGTGATGAGTAGACTGAAGTTGGGCTCAGGTGGTTGTGCTGTGGGATGTGTTTCCCATACATTTATTTATTTGTGGTGCTCGCCACAATATCAAAACTGACCGATTTTCCAAAAGGCTTTGTTGAATAAACATGAGTACGTACTGCACATTTAAAAATGTGACGTCATCAAATTGCGATCGGTTCGTGAGATCGGCTAAATAGTGAGTACCGATCAAGTCATGAAATGTGATTATCGGCCGATACCGATCTCTGACCGATCGATCGGAGCATCCCTAAAAAAATTTTATTTTGCTAGCAACTACTTTTTTTAAATGCTAGATATATTTTTAACACATTTTCAACCATTTAGTTGCCGCTTGAAAATTGTAACAAATGATGATGAGCCATGAACAGAAATCTGTTTACCTCAGCCCTCTTCAGCATCTCCCACTTGTTGAGAATCTTCATGGCGTAAACACGTTCGGTGTGTTTCATCTTCACCACAGCAACCTAGACAGATGAGATGAGGACTTAGCCAATGCATACAAACAAATTAAAACTCAGCATGATTTAGAGGCTGTGGTGAATTTGAGCATTTTTATTTCCCTCATTTATTCATTGCATGCACTTGGGGCCCACTTAGACCGAAACCCCACGGGGAAAGAAACTCTCTGAATGAGATGCTTTTGATCTCTGATGCCTCTGAAAATCAGAAAAAGGAAAAGCTGAGACATAAGACTGCTTACTTTTTGCATTAAAAAAAGAGATGGCACTCAAGAACCGGTTAATGTAGGTCATAAGACTGTAGCACATCAAAAAATGTCAAGGGTGACTAAGGTCTTCCCTGCAGGGGTAGTGACTCAATATTAGGACAGGGACAGGTTGGAAAGGAGTGTCTTGTTGGATATTATTCATGTGGGGTGGGGACAGCAAACACCCTGCCTGAAGGAAGACACACCAGTCAGGGAGGAGAACCATAAATGCAGTGATAATGCAGTGAGAGACTGTGATATTGGTGACTGAAATAAGTGAACAACTAACTTGTTACCAAAGATCAAAAACCAAAGCTTTAAAAACAGACAGGAACGGTTAATGTTTAATGAAAGGTTAAGGCTCGTTCAGGAACAGTTCACTCAAAAATAAATGATGAAAAATGAATAATTTTTTAGTTTAAATCACAAACCCATATTGTTTAATTTTGTACTTGGAAGACAAAAGAGAATATTTTAATAGGGTTGTGCCGACAGACGATCGCATCGTGTATCGACGATTGTCAGATATCGCCTGTGGCTGATGCCTTTGACGATATCAAGACGATTATTATTATTATCATCATTAGACTAGTATTATGATCTAATTAATATTAGGGCTTGTTTGTCCCATCATATTTCTTTTTATGCGTTTTTACAGTATTGTGCGTTATAACCAATCACACACGATTCTGTTGAGCTTATAAATGCAATGGCCAATCAGAGGCATTCAGATGAGTCATTGCTGAAACACCGACTGGAGTTTTGTTGTTGAGTGTGCACACTCACTGACTCCTCTCTTGAGAATTCTCTTATCATAAACAACAAAGTGCAGATGTGCTTGCGATGAAAGTATAAGAGATAGCTTCACTTATGTAGGGATTTCTAAATATGAACGGACACTGATATCAGCCATCATGAGGTCCGGATTAATTTAATCAAGAGTTGCCACAGAGATCTTTTGTATGAGGACTGAAAATACCGCGTGATGCTTCATGATCCAATGAAAATAACTGTTATATGTATGCACAGGAAGCGGCTATGTTAATCACGCCCTTGGGCCGGCAAGCATGGGATATCTATGCATGACTGTCACATGTCTTGTGACCACCTACTTCCTGCCCTGTCTGAAACCCGCGTCCTTATGTTACAATAAAAAAAAAAGAACCTTGCATGACGATTTTAAAAGCTAAATCGTTTAAAAAGTAGTGAAAATGTATCCACTGCATGTGTTATGCCGTATATATACAGTGGGTACGGAAAGTATTCAGACCCCCTTAAATTTTTCACTCTTTGTTATATTGCAGCCATTTGCTAAAATCATTTAAGTTAATTTTTTTTCCTCATTAATGTACACACAGCACCCCATATTGACAGAAAAACACAGAATTGTTGACATTTTTGCAGATTTATTAAAAAAGAAAAACTGAAATAACACATGGTCCTAAGTATTCAGACCCTTTGCTCAGGCCAATCAGCGAAGGAATTTCCCTCCAGCAGCCATCCAGTAGCCACGAGGAACAACTCCGCTTTCAGCTGTCAACCAGCAGAACGCAAGTAACGAACAAATCTTATCTCTGCTGAACTGGTGTTGAGCTACTTTAAGCAGTAAACAGAAGCTAAAATTCTCTGCTTTGTGAATTCTCTCAGGTGAATCGAAATCACTCGTGAAAACAAGATAGAACTATGAAACTCCGTCAACTCTCATTTCTTTCCTCTGAAACTGTATGTGTGTGTATGTGTGTTTTAGTTTAGTTTTGATGTAATCTAGAATAGCCAATAAATTCATGTTTCATTTATAGAAAATCATTGTTTGGTGTCACATAATTTTAATGTTAAAACCTTGCCAAAAAGATCCTTGCTACCTAGCTCGTAGCTTACTTATAATAATTACTATAATAGCTTACTTATAAAATTGTGTTGACCGTGGCCAGGAAAATACATATTCCATTTGTTAAAATATACTGAGGTCACGGCTCGCTGGACGACCCTTGATTTAAAGTGTAAAATAACAAATCTGGAATCAGGTTGAATTAGGCTCTTCAGATCCTAGTCCTCTAAAAACCTGAATTAATAATAATAATTAATTCCCTTATACAACGGAGTTAATTTCTTACACTTATTATAATGGGAGTGTTTTTTAAAGTGAATAAACTCATGCTAGACTGAAGTCAGTGATGCTCTTTCAACCCTCTACATTGCGAGTAAATCACTCGCATATGCGACTAAATCTTCACTCTGGGCGAATAAATGATGTCGAATATTAGCCAATGGCTAATAAATTCTCTGATTTTACTCGCCAGTGTGTGAGTTGGAGACTAAGTATAAGTTTAGCAGATATATTTTCACTCGCCGAACACACTGACTGAGCGCTTCAGTTTTACTCTCCGTCAAGCGATCTGTGATATTTTTCAGTTCATCTGAATGGATGCGCAGCGCACCCGTGTAGAGGTCTGCGCGGAACTATTTTTTTGGTCCCGCCCGCTCCCGCAAGGTTATATTCTGCAACCACCCGCTCCCGCTATATATTCACTCTATGTTCACCCGCTGTCTGCTTAGAATAATTTTCTTCCCGACCCGACCGTTCCTGCTAAATTTAGATCTCGTTTCCAGAATCTCACATTTAAATTTCCGCTACTGAAAGAAAGAGATAGGCTAACAAATAAAAGTGTAGTCTGCACAAAATTGTATGTTATTTTATTCGTCTTGTCAAGAGTCTTGAATTTATTGACTTCGACTTGAATTTATATGAATTATCTTAAGACACAAAATTCGTTTAATATTTTATGCAACACAGTAGGAAAAAAAAGTGTCAGAGAAAATAATGTTGTACAAAAAATTTTATTCGTCTTGCCAGGACACAATTCGTTTAACATTTACAACACAATAGGAAAAAGTGTCGCAAAGAGAAAAATTTTTTTTTAGCTATTTTTATTCATATTGTCAAAATACTAAATTAATTTGACATTTTTCTGTTAACACCGTAGGAAAGTCGCAGAGAAAAATAAATATGACATCTGTCATTTAAAATTATAGGCCAAGCAAAACAAACAAAACAGTTGAACGTCCTTCAAGGACAGCTCATCCACATTTTGCTCTGTCACTCATGTTCTGAGGGTCGTATATTTACCACCGGTACAGCCTGCTCTGAGCATCGTTATGCACATGCTGCACAGTCCGAGTGCAGGCTGCACCGGTGGTCAATAAGAATAAAGCGCACATATGCTGCGTTTTATTTGGGAATTGAATCCCACTGCGCAAAAAATCTGGTCGGGTCTCGCGGTTCTTGCAGGAGAGCCGCGGGAATGCAGACCACTACACCTGTGTTTAATGTACCGTAAACTGTAGTGTGAAGGCGCACAACTCGCCGTCGCTTTGTCTCACACACACGCAGAGTCAGAGAGAGAGAATTGATGCGTTACATGTAAACGATATTCTTTGTTGTATTTTCCTGTCAAAATAACAGCGTTCCTTTGGAATTCTTGAGTTTTTAAGAACTGCCGCTTTCTCCGGTAGTGGGCGGAACTACAGCACAAACGGCAATCTCATTGGCTGGCACTCACCTATTATCGTCCCTGTTTTGATTTCAGCAAATCAGTTTGAGCGAACGCACACAACCAAATTAATATTCATGAATCCAGCAGCTCATTAATCCTTAGTGCGTTTTATATTGTTCTTAGTAGAATTCGTATCACTATTATCTTATCAGTATTTTTGTTAGTTTTTTTTCTTTTACAGAAACACTAAATGACCAAAAAAGCACCACCACCAGTCTGAGGTTAAAATGACTAATATGCATTCATACATGATTATCAAGTTTTAATTCTAATTACTAAAGTTCTATCATTATATAATATTGATTATCATATAATAATGCTTGACTGACTGATGTTAAGAGTGTACTTTTAGACATTTAAAAAACTGTGCCAATTTACAAACATTTATTATATATATATATATATATACAGTGAGGCAAAAAAGTATTTAGTCAGCCACCAATTGTGCAAGTTCTCCCACTTAAAATGATGAGAGAGGCCTGTAATTTTCATCATAGGTATACCTCAACTATGAGAAACAAAATGAGGGAAAAAAATCTAGAAAATCACATTGTAGGATTTTTAAAGAATTAATTGGTAAATTCCTCGGTAAAATAAGTATTTGGTCACCTACAAACAAGCAAGATTTCTGGCTCTCACAGACCTGTAACTTCTTTAAGAGGCTCCTCTGTCCTCCACTCATTACCTGTATTAATGGCATCTGTTTGAACTCGTTGTCAGTATAAAAGACACCTGTCCACAACCTCAAACAGTCACACTCCAAACTCCACCATGGCCAAGACCAAAGAGCTGTCAAAGGACACCAGAAACAAAATTGTAGACCTGCACCAGGCTGGGAAGACTGAATCTGCAATAGGTAAGCAGCTTGGTGTGAAGAAATCAACTGTGGGAGCAATTATTAGAAAATGGAAGACATACAAGACCACTGATAATCTCCCTCGATCTGGGGCTCCACGCAAGATCTCACCCCGTGGGGTCAAAATGATCACAAAAACTGTGAGCAAAAATCCCAGAACCACACGGGGGGACCTAGTGAATGACCTGCAGAGAGCTGGGACCAAAGTAACAAAGGCTACCATCAGTAACACACTGCGCCGCCAGGGACTCAAATCCTGCAGTGCCAGACGTGTCCCCCTGCTTAAGCCAGTACATGTCCAGGCCCGTCTGAAGTTTGCTAGAGAGCATTTGGATGATCCAGAAGAGG